TGAGATTACTGAGCTGGTCACCCGACACTGAAATCTGAAACACACTCTGCTCCCCTCCTGACCGGGAGGGCCCCACTCAGCTCCGCTGCAACACCGTGCTCTCACCTGCTCTTTCTCAATCATTTGTTTTAAATATTTCTTTCAAGTATTTTAAAGGCTGCCTTTACTCTTTTGAAGCATTACCACGTTCAGCTGCCCTCATTTTGCTTTGGTCTGTCTGTGGGGAATTGCACAACGCACGGTCTGTAACAAAATGGCATTTACCAGGAGGGCAAGTACCGAAGGTAAACACAGGCCTAATGAGCTCATTTATCTTGCTTAGTTTACTTGTGACTTGTAAAACGTAAATCCTTTAATCCTGTAATCCAAATCAGTTGCCTTTTTGGTTGCCTCTCAGGGTCTGTATAACAACTCGGGAACGGGAAGGACTGAGGGTGAGTCAGCTTTGCTCCCTGCTGGGTTTTTGTGTCTGTTATCTGTGTTCCAACTGCGGGACCCTCAGTCCTGAGCACTGCAGGTGTGTCAGGGTGTGTCAGAGCCCTGGTGGGGAGTCATCTGAGTCCAAACCTCTGTGGAACTGTGAGGGAGCAAAACACCTCAGCCAGAAGGGTTTTTCTTTTCACAAGACTCCTTGATCCCATGATTTGTAACTTTTAAGTGGGGACAAGATGAAACTGCTGAGTGCTTGTTTTGTGACGGCCTCTCGAAGGGTCATTTTTGATAATCTGTACCAACTCAATGTCTCTATACGAAACGTGGATGCTTTATTTGTGAGAGAAGAGCCAGCCCCTCGGCCAGCCCTTTGATGAGGGCAGTAGCTGGGAAAGGCTCCCTGCAGGACCCTGCTTCTCCTAAGGTTACAGTACTGGCCCAGGAGCGTGGTTACAGGAATACAGGCACAATGGATCCCGAGCTTTTCACCTCCACATGTTCCCTTCTGGTTAAGTCATGTTGTCCTAGTTTTGAAAGGTGGAAAAGCAGGCGATGATATCTAGTCCTATCAGAAAAGGAGTGGGGAGCACTGAGCTGACTCCAGCTGGTAACATGCCACTCCCTCTTTAGGGTGCTGGTACCTGTAGGTGGTTGATGGTATGGACAGTAAGGGCAAAAGCCTGCTCAGGCTCATGACACACGGGGTTAACTGAGCAGAGGCCTCCCCACAGGATGCCACCGAGGGGACCCTGACTGGCACTGCGGTGAAATGCTGGAGTGCTGAAGACAGCGGATACCCCACCAGTGCCAAATCCCAGTTCTGGACAGACACTGTCCTGGGGGTCAGAAGAGGTGTGGGCTCCAAAACACCTCCCAGACTGCATATGCTAAGGATGAAAGGACCAAAGCTGAGGCCACCTTTGCTGAGACACAAGTCTGACTGGTTCTGGTCTCTACAAAGGGGGTGATCTGGCAACTTGAAAGAAAGGATAAACAGAGCACAGTAAAAGGCTGCTTGAAGAAATTCATCCAAACAGTGAAAACAAGGCCAGGCAGTTGGGAAACAGGGAAAAGATGCCTCATCAGGAAGTTCAAAAGAACTGAAGAAGCAGCCAGCACACTCCACCCTGTGTGTTCATTCACTGAGCATGAGAATGGGGCTGTGAGCACATCCTAAAAAACACCTGGGTTTTTTTCCAATCCCAGGGGATGATATCATACCCTCAGATGAAACCACAAGCAGACTGTCACTTGCACAGAGAGAATACGTTATGTTCCTGCACTGACACAAATGGTGCCACACCACATATTTTGTCCCCTCCGTGCAGCTCTTCCAGTGCTGTGTGTGAGCAGTTGGAAGCACAGTCCTGGCAGCTGCAGCTCTCTGCAAGTGTCTGTAACACCGAATCCCACCACTGCGACCTGTAACATCTTCAAGCTGCACCGCACAGAACTGCACGTTCTGCTGAAATTAAAAAAAAGTACTTTTTTCCTTCTGTTTCAGCAACATGCTCAGTCCTATTCTTTCCCCACTTTTATTTACAGCTCATCTCTGCTGTCTCAGCTATTCATCCACACGTTCACATCATTCCAGCTTCCCTTCCTGGGCCAGCGAATCCCTCAGCTGTTACAGCTCTTCCTAACACACTCTGTGATCAACACGACTCCCACAGTGATGTCCCTTTCAGTTTATTCCACACAAAGTGTTTTCTTGAGGAGGAATTAATACAAGGGATACAGAGATCAGTAAATGAGGATCATACAATCACCCTTCAGTTTTCCTTTTTACTCTTCTGTATTTTTCCAGCAGCTGCTTAAAAACTGCTATTCAATAATATAATCACCTGGTAACATTTAGCTCCTTGAGACACAGATGTTTTACTTCCTGAAAAAGTGCCACTGTAGGTCTAAATTACTTTATACAAATATTCACCAGTCTTTGCAGCAATTCCAGGAAAACACACACAGTTCCTCCTCTCTCTATGCAATCGTTGTTTGCTGCTTTTCAACAGACAGATGGTAGGAAAGTTTTGCACTTGACATTCATAGCTGTCTTTCCCACAGGCATGTGATGACGTGCTCGTTGCATCACCCCCTGTCTCTGAACGTTTGGAAGAAGCTGCCTCACAAATGAGATCCTGGGAAAGGTGAGAGCAGAACTGGTATTTCCACTCTTGCTCCCGGTTACATGCTGAGGAAGTGAAGTGATGTGTTTGAAACACGTTAACACTGTCACTGTACAAAGACATTTGTCCAAAACCACTGTACTGTGGCTGTCTTAAAAACCACCTGAAAGAGAAACAAACACAGATTGTTAGTGAAAGGAATTCCTCACAACGTGAGGGGGCACTTCTAGGCAAACTGTCCATTAGCTCTGTCATGTTAGATTAAAGGAAGCATTAAATTATCTCATATTTTTATGTATTCGAAATGACAAATTTATAAATGTGTGCATTTGTTTTCTTTGCAGCCAAATAAGCTTTACTTTTTCAAGCAAGGGAAAACAGGACAAGCACTGTATTAAAATCAAGTGCAATTTTTGCTCTGTGAAGGCAGAGAACCTAAACTCTCAGTGCAGGAAAGAAGCTGCTGTGTTGCTGTGGGATTCCACAGGGGCACATCTGTAGATAAAGAGCAGCAAAGCAGCCTGGGCAGTGCTGGGTTTGTGCCACACAAGTGACAGTGGTAAGTGAGAGAACAAGGGTGGCTATAAAAAGACCTTGCAGTGACTGCATAAAGCACCTCTTGGAATTATTAATGAATGCAGGAGGGAGATGGGTCGAGAACCTCTTGACCAAAATAAATTCTGTTAACAGTCTAATGTTGGAGAGCAGGAAGGAGCTCAGTGAGCTCAGGAACATTTCACTAATAGTGCTTCAGTCCAATAATTTGCTTCACCCCAGACGAGGCATCTCTTTCTGCACTTTCATATATGGGAAGAAAAACAGATGACCCAAAATGCAAATGCTTTTCTTCCAACTTTTTCTTTAAATTATTTCAAATCTACACAGTTAGGGGGATTGTTCAAGATAATTGTGATTCACTGCTAATACACACATCTTTTTTGCATCAAGCTATGCTGGCAGTTTGCAAGCATGTTAGCAGGGTCATGAAATATTGCAATAGCCCAGAAAGCTCACAGTAATAGAGAAAAAAAAATTAGAAAAAGTAGAAACCTTTAGGTGTAAAATACACATGCAAACTATTCTGAAAATTTACAGATGGGTATAGCAGAGGGGTTACCACACAGTCAAAGGCATCTTTAAAAACTACTGAAATGCTGTGAAAATTCAGGGCTATAAACACCTGGGATGCTGAAAAGCCTGATTAGGGCACTCAGCACGTATTTCTCATTGGGCTGGGAAATGTTGCTGCTCTTCCAAACCCAAGTGTTGAAGGACAGCAGAGGTATCTCAAACTTGGCAGGACTGTGTTCAAAGGCAGTCTGGAGCCTGGTGGAAGGGCTGAGGCAGCAGCAGAGACACAGGACTACCAGAAAGATGGCAAGAGCAATATACAGGATGAATCATTAAATAAAAATGTTCTTCTCTGCTGCTGGAGATGGATATAAAGGAATATCATCCAAGAGCCTGTGGTGAGCTGATGGAGGAAAATGCTCATGGGGGATCCTGGGATCCTGCACAAAGGAAAGGCTGCCCGTGCTCAGCCCAGCTGGATCCAAAGGTGAGGAGGCTCCTGGCAGATTGCTTCCTCACCAGAAAAATCATCATGGCAGTGATTAAATGAATTGATTTCCAGCCTTGGATACCACTGCTGAATCACGAACCACCTGAGCCATCCCTGCCTTTGCCATTTCCCTGGACATTTCCCAAAGCCCATTCATTCCCTTGTCAAGCCCTCAGGAATGTATTGTTTTGGAGCAGAAATGAGCAGCTGTAGAGAAAAAGCATTTTCCACTCTGCAGGCATAACATTTCAAGAGTGTCTGTTAGAATGAATTTCCCCCCTTCATCTCATTAAAGGCAGAGCATTTTTTTCTTTGCTCATTACAAAGACCTGTGTCTAAATCTGAAGAAATAAATGAAAGCTCAAGTTGTGTGTGTCATTTCCCAGCAGAGCTGATAAATTGTGTGCTTGCTTTGAGCTGGCTGTGTCTCATGAACCATGATGCTCATTTCACATCTCAGCTACTGCAAAAATGCTAAAGAGAGGGGATTTTTTTTTTTAATCCCTAAAATTATGCTTTTATATACATGGTAAAAACAATAAATCTAATAATTTGAAAAAAGTGGTGGCTTCGAGTCAACATCACCCACACAGTTTCATTTAAATTTTGTTTAGTACTCCAAGCAGAGATCTTAATTTAAGCATCTCCTGACTTTCATGATCAGCCTCATCCTGCTGCTGATGTAGTTTTGCAACAGGATTTGGCTTTAATTCTTCAAATAATAGGAAACAAAAAGAAATTCTACTAAAAAATCCACCTAAACCAAAGCATTTGTGTGTTTTAGGTACTTCTATCAGGTTAGCTGTGCTATGTCCTCTTCCAGGAATTTTATGTCAACAAAATACAGCAGCAAAAATCAGTAAGAGGGAAAGAACAAAGTTAAATAGAATTAACTGTTTGGTAAGTCAACAGAAACCTGAAGAGAGATACGGATAAAACATAGGAAGTTTTTTAGTTGGTTTTCCTGCCATTTTAATGTTGCATTTCTTTATTGCAACCAAAATAACAGAGAAAATACCTGGAAAGGAACCTCCTCTTAAAAAGATGCTACTTAGAAGAGCTTGAAGTCGTTTCTGGCATGAGAACTCACCTCTGCAATCAGTGTGTTTACTGCTGCACGCACACAGACACCTAAAATGCACAAACACAGAGTTTAGGAGAACCTCTCCAACATCAGACTTCTGACTTCTTACCCTGATCAGGGTAAGATACTGAAGGCAATAAACCTTCTTAAATGAAGGAGTGTTTCACTAGATATGTGCACACAGGCTTCACCAGAGACTTAAAGACACTATAATAAAAATATCAACAGTTGTGAGCTGTTAACCTGTCACATGTTTAACCTACACTGACTTTTTTTTAAGTTACTTGGCTTACTGCAACTGGTGCAAATCCACCACACAAACCAGATTCCTGTGCTGAGGGTCCCTTTGGCTCTTTATTTTATTTCAGTATCACAGGATGGTTTGGGTTGGAAGGGACCTTAATGATCATCTCATTTCAACCCCCTGCACGTGTTGTGCCAGGTCATAAATGCTTTCAACCTAGTCTCAGTTTAGGTAGAAAGCAGCAGAATTTAGACATATTATTTAGGTCCTACTTTTAAAATGGATCAGGAAATAAACCCCATATAACAACATTTACAGACTCTCTGAGCTAAATTAGAGACAAAAGACTCTTTGCCTCCTCAAAATGTAATGTACCAAAATTCTTCAAATGGTAATTTCTGAAACAGGAATAGAAGTGCTGGTAAAGAAGAGCACTGCAGATTCTCCTACTTCCACCATGTGGAAGAGGCATTGGTCCCCCCCTCTAATGGGTCACACAGCTCAGAGGGGTGGCACAGTGAGGTAGATAGTAGATAAATGGGGACTTACCTATCCAAGATGCACCTCCTGAAATTACAGCCATTCAGAAATAGGTCCCAGTCGACTATTTCCACCAAATAATTCAAGAGTCCCCTAAAATTCACAGAAAAAAACAAGCAGACAGAGTGTTTAGTTTAAACTGATAGCTGAGCAATAGCTTTTTCACAGACACACTGGAAATGCAGGAAATGCAGGAAAATAAGACCAGGGGAGCATCTCCCAGGTTGTTCCCTCCAGTCACTGCAGGAGGGCCACGTCAAATCCTGGGATGGCCACGTGGCAAATACATCCCAGTGACCCTTCCATGCTGTGAGCTGAGACACAGGACAGACAGACGGGGCAGGCAGGGAGGGGGTGGTACTTACTCAGTCCCAGCACTGTGAGGGATCCCTGCCAGTGGGCATAGAGGAGAAGGCACTCCGGGAACTCCCGCCAAGGGTGTCGGTTACCCGTGGGATCCAAGGAATGTCCCCCTGGGAAGGACAAACTGACACCTCTCCAAGGGCAGCCTGAGCCACGAGCTCCTGAGGGCCCGTGACAGCCAGAGGATTAATGGGCTCAGCTGAAGCTCACGTGTCACGAGGTTCAAAACCTCACTCTCGCTGTCCAACCTCCGGGTGTTCTGGTCAATGTGTGTGTTTTGCTCTTCACTGCCCCTTGGAACTAAATGTATTTACAGCACCACCAAACAGATCAAAGCCTATCGAGGAGGGGTCAGCCTGCGTGGGACTGAGCACCATTTCCACCACCTGGTCTCTAATTTAGGATGAGGACTGAACTCTTGGAGGAGTGAGCAGCAGAAATCCCATCGCCTCAGCAGGGCCAGGATACCATGGAGAGGAATTCCCTTCAGTTCAAATCCGAGGAGTTGGAACCTCTTGGATTACACGAAATGAGAAACGAGGAGTTTTAAATGATTTATTTGATTTCTCCACATGATCACAGTTATAGTTTTACATCAATAGGGTCTGTTACTACTTACAAACAGAATGCATATTAAAATGAAAGCACTCCTTTCTTCCCCAGAGTTACAAAAGGGGTCTCAAGCCTCCCCAGAACAGAAGCTTCTTGTAAGCGTAATGTTTTTGAAGTCTTTAACAGTCTGCATTCAAGACCTAATTCTAACAGTTTAGTACAACTCAAAGCTGATTTAAGTTCCTAGCAGGAGATAGGCAACCTCAAAGTGACTGCAGACTTAGAGTAATGCTAATTTACACACTATGTACAATTTAGAGAATTCTCTATTCCCCCTACTGGTCCCGTTTTCAGCACAACCCCTTCTCTCTTTTCCAAATTGAATCTTGTTATTGGTTCCACTTTTCTTTTAAATATATACACAAGAATCCATTTTGCAGGCAAGAAGTGCGATGGTATTTTACAAGGGGAACAGCAAAATGCATGCTTAACTGCAGAAAACACACAGCTTCATGTGGAACAGCAAGTCAACATCTAGAGATTCAGTGTTTAAATATCTGCTGACTGTCTCTCAGCTCATTTTATCAAGAAACAAGAGGCTTCTGCTGCATGCAGTACATGATGGGAAATCATTTTACACTGTATGTTAGACTCTTTTTTTTTTTCAGCAATACAAGACGCACATTATATTAGGATGAGCTTTGTATTTTTTTGTTTTTACATTGTTTTACATTTCATTCTTAACTTAAAAAAATAAACCCCCCAAATATATATTTGATTGTTGTCCCAGAAAAGATTTTTTGCTGCCACACCTTCATTCTTAACGTTTCCCTTTCATTGTTTCAAATCAGCATTACTACTTCGCCACATGGTTTTTGGGAAGAGGCAGCCACAGTCACTCTATGCAGTTCTGTACCAGTTTTTAATTGGCATCTGAGAAAAAAAAAACCCTCTCAATTCTACTCCTGCCTGCAGGCTGAAAAATTGATTTTCTTAACCCCACGCAGTGTTTAAGTACTATAATTTTCCTGTGCTAGGCATGACCCACACTGCTCTAATCGTAGGGACGGATCAGAGAGGTTTCACTGCAACCCTGAACAAGCAGCAAAGTTCTTAAGACTTGTGCTGACACCAAGACACTTTGTTCGGTAAAGTACACACAAACATAGAAGTCTAAAAAACCAAACCAGAACAAAACTGGAAACAAATAATTCAGGTCCACTGTTTGTCCTCCTTGGCTCAGGAACAGGGGGTACAAATGCAGAGCTCCCGTGGGACCAGCTCTGGTTTTTACTGCTGATTGCACCCGGGAGGCTGAGCACACCCCAGGGCAGGCACAGACTCCTTCCCCACCTGCACGTGAAACCACAGGGGAATGTTCCTTTGCGTGCACGGTTGTGACATCTCCGGAATATTCTGATTCACAAACACGCTGATTGCACATGGAAAATCGGTGGTCGAGCGGTATAAAATGGGGCTCACTGTTAAAGTACAGAACATTTCTACGTAACTCTAACTGAAATGAATGAAAGGGGTCTTTAAACACAAAGCAAATGCAGATCTGGGCGATTTAACATCTGCAGTGTTAATCAACACAGCTGGAGTCAGATTTTCCTCTCCACTGCTACTGCATATTCTGCCTTTATTCCACACACAGACTATCTTACGTTACGCCTCTGCATCTGAAACACGTACAGACTCCATCACTCAGTGAAGAGGAGCATTCTTACCTCTGCTTTAATTAAAAGATGCAGTTTTCTGAAAGATGTTTGTACCTGAATGGTTCTTTTATCTTTTCTGGAACAACCTATAAATTACAGTTAGACTCTACTATTGGTACAGATGTATGAAGAAAAGTCTACATATTGAAATATGTTATCACTTTACTTCAACTAATATCAACAGTAACACTGATATATTTTGCAAATATACAATATGTAGAGTGTAGCCTCACACTAATAACATTAGATGACATGCAGACAGTTCTACTTTCCCTTATAAGAACAGCATATATTTTTCTTTTTAAACTGCAAGGAACAGAGCCTCGGGGGGACCCGGAAGCCGCAGAATTTAGAACAGAACGAGTGATACAGGAAAAATAATAACTCGGGTTTTCTTTTGATGGAGACAATTCCGAGGAGAAGGAGCGGGAGGGGGAAACGATATTGCACGTGTGCGAAACAAATGTGGACAGCTCGAAACAAAAGGCTCAACTCTAGATTGCTGTATTTGCTCTCTGTGGAGTTAACAAAGTGCTCAGTTTGCAGTTCTGCTGGTATTGTGATATCAATGGTATGAAAGAGAAAAAAAAAAAAAAAGACTGAACCTCTTCCCCCCTCCCCCCCACGCCAGAGATGCCATGAGCAAGCCAACATGGAAAGTCACTTTGTTGTTCTCATGTCCTCGTCACTGCTGACAATCCTGTTACTGTTCAATAGGAACACGGCTGGTTGTTATTACGATTATTTTACCCATCTCTTACTGGAACTTTTTTGCTCATCCTCTTCAAGGTTTGCCTTTAGGCTGGTACAGTTTTGCAGTTGTGATTCTCTGTCTCTACTGTTTTAGGTGTAAAGTCCTTGCAGTGGCTCAAAGTGCTGAAACTACAAAGTAGGCGCCATGTATAACTTTGTACAGGATCTCAGGATAAAAACCGCATAGAAATTTGCAAATGGTTTGGTTACAACACATAAGCAACAACAGCACAGCCTATTTTTATGTGATGTCTGGCAACTAACTGGACTATGGAAGTGAGGGTTTGAGCGTAAACTCAGCCTGCTGAGTGCTGGGTGCTTCAAACTAACAAAATGTGATGAGTAAGAATGGGAAAGCCACTTTGTTGCTAGCACATGGCTACATGGAATTACAGATTTTTATTTTTATTTTTTATTTTTTATATATATATATATATATATAAAAACCCTATACTAAATTCTAAAACAAACCTTCAAGTTTTTAGAGCACTTCCACCTGGAAACGCTCTTGGCTAGAATTCAGCTTCACTGGGGGGTAAAAATGAGAAATTATGGTAAACAGGAAACAAAGTAGCTGAGGAGGATGGAAGTTGGCCATTTTCATGTCTGAGATGAATGTTTTTGCAGTGTGTACATGCACCTGTTGTAACTCTTCCCGGGTGTTCCTTAAACCCATCCGCATACAAAAGAAATGTGGATCATGGAAATTCACAGTTATCACAGCCTTTAAAGTGTCTAAGAACTTGTGTGACCAATGCTTGGAGGGTGACCGCTGGGGAGCGGCCCCCCTACATTGCTACGGAATAATTACTGCATCTTAACGAGCTTGCTTACCTGAAATAGCAGAGCAGTTTTAATACTGATTACGTATGATATCATCGTGTTAATAAAATAAGGATTTATACAAAGCAGTATCGACTACGACAGTTAAATGCTATGTTACTTGGCACATTTAGTAATGATTGCTTAGAAATCCCAGCGAGTCCGGAGGACTCGCAATGAAAATACTGAAATGTCTGAAATTTGTTTCTAACGTTTAATGTTTTGCTCTACTCTTTCATATGCTATTCATTTACTATACAGTCCTATCAAGTAAGTGGAATTCCTTGTAAAGTCTATATTGCTAGTTTTGTGGACTGAAAAAATTCCTTTCCAAGCACAAATGTTAACTATACAGTATATATATATATATATTTATATGTATATATTTATATTATATAAAGTTTACTTACGTACTTTCATCAACCATATCAGGTCTACTTATTTTTTTTGCCCATTGAGAATAAAAGAGCAAGAATGCAACACTTGGTTCTGTCTCACTTTTTTTTTTTTCCTTTTTTTTTTTTTTTTCCCTAGACTAACGTTTCGTTAGGCGTGTAAAATCGTCAGGGGATTTGGTGTAAAAGGTAGCTTCAGTCAGATTCAGCAAGCAGCATGTGTTTCAAGGCAGTTTGGAAATAAGAACTAGCCAGATGGTGGGCATCTATCCAGTAGATAAGGAAAGCCAGTAACTGGCATTATTTTATTTAGTAACAGCAAGCCTGGAAGCTCACCCGGCTCAATCCAACTGTCTAGGTAAAAACTGACCATGTTACTTGTCGCTCCTGCGAGTGCCTTTGCAGCTCAGTTTAAAACTCTAGTTAGTGGAGGGTCTCTGTCCTAGACTATTGTGCTGATGCCACTGTGTTTGGGCTTGGTGCTGGCGGAGGTGGAGGGAGGCGGTGGCGGCCCGTGGTGGTGCGGGGGGTGGGCAGCGTGGCCGGGGTGTGGCGGCGGGTGGGGCGGGTGGCTGTGCTGGGCGTGGGGGTGCTGCAGGTACGGGGGGTGCTGCCCGTGGGCGTGGGGCACGTGCTGGTGGTACTGGTGCGGGTGCGGGAGGTGCTGGGGGGGGTGGTAGTGGTGGTGGTGGTGGTAGGGCGGCGGGTTCTGCTGCAGGTGGCAGTACTGGGAGTGGTGGGAGTGCACCGGGGGCTGCCCCTCGGGGCCCGCGGGGTGCGGGGCGTGGTGCTGGTGCGGGACTGCTGTGGGGTGCGCAGGTTGCTGTGATGAGCCGGATGGTGGATGGCCTTGGGAAGGTGGCTTCCCCCTTTTACTACCAAATAAGGACCCTAGGAGTGAGGAGGAGTTGGGCATAGTCTGGTGAGGGCGAGATGGACACTCTCGGGTTGATGTAGCTCTTCGGCGCATGTGAGGACTGCTAATGATGGACCCCTAAAAAGAAATTAATAGAAATAAAAATTAAAAAAATCTTAAAATGTTTAAAAGAAAAAAGTTCACACTGACCCACAAACTCCTCCTTCAGTGTTCACATGGGTGACTATGTTAAAGAGTTCTAGGGAAAACCTTACTTCCACCTTCTCTGAGTTGCCAATGGGGCACTCGTGCCTTTCTGGGGGTATTTTAAGCATTGAATGTTTTTTCTCTCAGTACTTTTGCTATTGAAGGATATGACTTTAAATTAAAAAAACACAAATGTCATGGAAGAATAACATGACATAAGACCTAGAGGTGTCTTTTTAAAGGAAAAATACAGTTTAAAATACTGTAAAAAAAATCATACTTGCTTTTTTTACAACAATAAAAAAATAAAGCTGACTCAACCTAAATAGTTAAATATACAGCAGCAAATATTACAGTTACAGTTCAGATGTCAAAGCAGTATTTAAAACTTTTTTTGATAGTAGTTTTCTACTACTGTATGTCACAGTGCTGCTTCTCAGGCCTACCCCTGCATTATGTGTTAAATGGAACCATTTTTGCCAGCAAGATTTCTATGTGATTGTGTTATTCTGACCTGTGGTCCAGCATTCTCTATTATTTAGCCTGGAATTTAGTTTCTGGAAGCTTGGGGTTTGTATTTTTAAAGAGTTATGGGACACAACAGTACTTAGGCAAAGTGTGCTAGATTTAAACTGCAATCTACCTAAAGCAAACACAAAAAAAACCAAAACAAAACAAAAACAAAAAAGAGGAAAAAAAAACAAAACAAAAGAAACAAAAAGAAAAAATCTGCAAGCTGAATTCAGAGACATGAACAGTATATATAAATGGTTTGAAGATGAATGAAATCTCATGAAATCCACATTGAATTCTCCTATCTTAATAATTTTTTTCCTCCCATGCCCTGTCTGTGCAATTCCATGGTGTCATGACTGCATACATTTAGCAATTGAACTCGAAAATAAGCAATGGGAATGGTTGAGCATGACAGTCAATAGTGGTAGCTAAATACCAAACAGCAAGAACAGTGTACTTGGTAACAAAGAGCAAGTGGGCTTTTAAGCTGGGACCAGACTGAAATGGTGGCAAAAGGACACATCATATTCATTTAACCATGCTTGCAGGAACAAAGGGAACAAGGTTAGCTCAAACCAAAAATGCCATTGGTCTAAAACAAGCTGTCAGTGCTTTTTTTTTAAGCTGGAAGAATACGGAGTGAGTAGCCTAGGCATGCATTTTATTCGTGGCAGGCAGGTTATGTGTTAGAAGAAAAAAGAGCAAAAAAATATATGTATATATATATATATATATATATAAAAGAAAGGTTTGAAAATGCACATCATCACATCCAGCTAGACATCAGGAACTTCCTACTTACTTCCATATTGCTGTCTAGCGATCCTGCACTGCTGCGGCGCCCACGCTTGCCTGCCCAGGACATGCAACACCAGAGATTAGAGACCGACACGGCACCCGGGGGAGAAGAGCTGCTCGCCCTGCGTCCTGCCAGGGACACCCCACGGCACACCCTCCTGCCCCTCACTCGCTCTGCTGGGGGTCAGCTAACACCAGCTTGTTGGGGGTTAAAGGTTGGGTTTTTTTTTTTTCGTTCGTACAATCTTAAAATAGGTGGGTTTAACGTTGGTGTTGAGCGCTGGGGTTGGGGCGGTGAGCGGCAATGATGGTGATTTGTTTGGTTGCCTGGAGTCCAATTGGCTGGGAGGTTTCCTTCTTTAAGCACGTCGGTATACACTCGTGGGGTGATATCAATTTAAGTGCAAAATTTAATACTGACACAGTCTGAACTTCCCCCAGGGGGTGGTTGGCACTGAACAGGCTCCCCAGGGCAGTGGGCACAGCCCCAAGGCTGCCAGAGCTGCAGGAGGGTTTGGATGATGCTCTGGGGCACAGGGGGTGACTCTTGGGGATGGGGCTGTGCAGGGCCAGGGGTTGGACTGGATGGTCCTTGGGGGTCCTTCCAGCTCAGCACATTCTGTGTCTGTGATTCAGTGGGGGGGACTGGTGAGGGGCATTGGTTTCATCGTTTCAATTTCGGCTCTGAGCCTCAGTGGATTTCATATAATCTTCTTTCATGAGGTTTTAAAAAAAACTAAACTTAATTTTTGATCAATAAATCCGGAATCTGTCGTGACATTATGGCTAGGTTTTGTTTGTTTAGCTGTGCAGTGCTTTAGCTTTAAGTATGTCGGATTTGTTCTCCAACAGCCTCAAACTGCAAGGACATTTGCCTGAAACCACACGTGAAACACCAGACTAAAGAGCCAAAAGACCTCAGTGGCTATAAACAGGACACAGGATCCCAGATTTTATTTCTCATTTCACAGGAGAGCAAACAGCATATGGCTGCAGTGGAAACTGGGATTTTTTAGGAGCCAGGTTGCTGAGCACTGCTCTGGGCAGTTTCAGAACACTGAACTGGCGGGGTGCATAAACCAAAGCTAACCTTTGGAGAGTGATCAAAGCTTCCCTAAAATCTCCATGTTTTTAGAAACCAAAGTCTTCTCAGTGCTCTCTCCTTGCTTCCCTACAAGGCCAGATAATCAAAGACAATCTCTCCCCTGCACTGGTACATTGCCTTCAGAATCTTCTACTCTAAGAGGTTGTTTGGGGGGAGAATGTGAATATTTCAGCATCACCAAACCAATGAGTGGCACTCCCTCATCAGAGACACCCCAAAGCCACTTGGGATCAGAACTAGGGAACTGGGACAAAACAGTGTCTCCTGGGAGGTTCACCCTTCTTTGACAAACCTTTCCACAGGCCAATTTAGACTTGCAGTGTGATCAGAAAACACCAGTTGTTGAGTTCATAACTTTGAGCTGGCTGGTCCCAGGATGCTGCCCTGAAACACAAGCTTCTCTTAAGAGCTACAGTTCTCTTTAGGCCATTGGAACATTTCCCCCTCTCTCATTATCACAGAATTGCTCCCCAAGACAAACCCCTCTCCAGTGACATTAAAGCGAGGGGAAGGTGTTTGTGGTCAAGGTGTTTCATTAAATTTGTTGGAATTTGGAATGATTCCCCTAGACAGGACCTTTGTCAAAAGCTCATCCTTCCATCTGCTGCAGTTTTAGCCTCAGCCAATACTGAACCCCCCAAGAAAAACGGGTTTTGATAATCCCTTCTTTTTACTTCTAGTCAGGCTTTTGATATTTTTCTGCTCTGATAATGGGATTAGTACTGATCAACACTCAAATCACTCTTGCTTGCCGATGCAAACACACTGAGACAGTCACCTCTTAGCAGTCAGCATTGCAAATAAGACTGAGAGCTGACATGGGTCATTCAATGTGGCCAAAAACGAAGGAAAACAGGAAAATCTGATGCCTTTGGCGAGTGGCAGGAGTCACATCTACCAAAATAACCACGGACACAGCATATACAGACAGAGACAGATGGATTTGTGCTTAGAATTACTCCAGGGCAAAGCCAAGAACACACAGAAAAATCCTCCTTAAAGCCTGAAACTCCCCTCAGATGGGCACTGTCCCTGAGCAGAGCCTTTGTTTGTGTTCTTAAAACCAAACTGAGCCCAATTCTCTACTGACACAGTGTGTGACAGGAGAGCTATTAAGGGAATGCCCCTGCCAAGGTGTGTTTATTCCAGACTCTTCCCTGATCTTTGGGATGACATCCCACCTCGAAAATGTTCCCCCAGAACTTCAGCCTTCACATGCATTTCAAGAAAATGGTGACTCTTCATTAGAATTGCACCTAAGCATGTGCTGGCAGAATAATCAGCAGCTGTGGTATAAAGCAGGGTGGTATTTATTAAATTTAAATACTGGTTTTGCTTCATATTTAAATACTTTACTCAAAAATTTTAAGGCTGCTACGTAAGAGTGGCTTATAATTTATTTTTATAAAATTAAATTCAATTAATTTAACCTTTTTCTGATTCATCTCAGTAATTCCTTGATGTTAGATATGGATATTCTTTGTAAGAAACATCTTTAACTCATGTAAATATAATGTGTCCCATACATGCACAGGCATTATCATTATCATTACAGTAAATGGAAATATTTCTCACTGCTAGCCTGTATTTCTTGAAACTCTCTCCTGTGCCAGTGAGATACAGCAGCTAAAAAGTACACTATCATCTAGCTTTGTACGTCTTGAGAAAAAAAGTGTGGGGAAAAGTTTTAAATTAAAATATGCTCTAGTCATTAATTTAAAGAGACCACTTCCCAGAGGGAAAAGACTCTTTGTAAGCTTCTTATTTTCATCTTATTTTCTTTTCTGTGTGAAACAGGGTCTCTTCCAGAAGAGAGAAAAGTTGGTGATAACAAGGTGTTCAGGGACAGCGTGGGGTGCCTGAAAAATGGTTTGGTATTATCATAAACGTGTCACCTAAGATTTAACTCATACAAATCTGCTTTATTTAAAGCACCCAGTGTATTCCATCATACCCCTTCACTGTTGTTATTCCTCGGAAAAACAGGAAATGTTACAACAGTGACAAGGGAAGGGAGAGGAAAAATCTCTCCCTACTTGGAAAGCTCTTCTAGTAAGAGAGTCAAAGAGTCTTGGAATCCTCTGCAGTAAAATCCAAGGGAGAGGAAGGGGAAAATGAACTCTGCCTGCATGGGATGAGGAAGGAGCCAGGGACTGCACCATCCCAGCACAGACTGATCCAAGAGATTAAGGGATTCTGTAATTACACCAACTCAGAGTCTCTTTAAGGGGATTACAATGCTGAGAAGTCCCACAGTCTTTTCCATTATATTTTGAAATACAGGAAACTTTTAAAAAAAAGCATTATAAAACTGTTGAAAAAAACTAGGAAGGTTTTTTGGAAGGTAGAAACAAACATTTTAAAAGCTAAAGGTTGACTGAGTTTATAGGCAATATGCAAACAGTTAACTCTGGAACTGCTTCATGGTTTTGCTTTGGTTTCTGAGTAGTCTCTAACGCTCTGTGATTGTTTTGAGACAAGCCCAACTTACACTAACAGGAGCCATTATCCCATCCTGCACCTGTGCAGATTGCAGCATCACAGGGCTATGCCACTTGTGTAGCACTGGGGCAAACCAAAACACTGGAATTTTTAAACCAGTGCAGCGTGTAAATATTATTTCCACTTAGAGGTGAGGGAAGGGGGGCACAGGGTTTGCTTTCCACAGGTGCTCCCCACTGGGAACTCAAGGTGAAAGCACTGGGGCCTCCAGCAACTCAAAGTGCTGGAACTGGGACTGACTTGCCTAAAATCAGTCCAGAAATTTAGGAGAGACACAGAAGTGGAAACACAACCATTCATAATCCTCCCTGCTCTGCTTTGGTGACCAAACCATTCTCCTCGAGGTCTAATGGCCATGATGGGACATCACACCTTTCACATCTGTCTGTAAACCTCTCATCACGGAACTGCATAGGGAATAGGAGGTGAAATGGCCAGAGCACTATCAGAACTGATAAACCCCAGCTTTAGCTGCATTAATATTTGTCTGCCTTCTAATTTTTTTTCTGTAAATTAAGAATTTCAAAGTCTGAGACAAATAAATTCAGTTCCTCCCTGACGACAGCTCAAGGACGTGCAATAAAAATGATATATTTCTCTTTTGAGAAAAATAAAGCACTAAATACTTTTGGACACAGTCACATCTTGGAGCAGTTGGTTGCCACATTCTGCTCTTTATTCCACGGAGAGATCTGACAATTCCCAGTGAACAACATTATCTTTCCAACTGAGACCCTCCCACACATCCTTTGCACAGTTCTGAATTCAGTTATCAGCCTGAAGAACAACCCTCAGGGAACGACTCCTGACGTGGTTTCCTTGCCTTTCTGTCTGATTGCCAGCTTAGGAGTCAGAATCCTTCAGGAGATCAGTGTTTGTTGAATCTGAGCAGCTTAGGAATCACCCATCTTTTCCAAGGGGGACGTTTCAGGTGGCTTTCCCCAGCCAGCGGTTACTGCTGGGATGTCTGGGGGACTATTTCCTAAACAGTTCAGTCACAGACCCGTGCAGCCAAAATGCTGCTCACTCACATTTCCCCTTCGTTGAATAGAGAGTTAAAAATTTGGTTTTTGCAATGTTCACTGGGCAATTATCTGCCTTACTGCATAAATATGCAACCAGGCCGTTTCGTCGTGTTTGTTTGATTTATTCCTGATTAAATGTAGAAAGGACCTCTCCAAAAATCCACTTGCGTTGTGTCTTTTCTAGCAGGCAGGCACAATTCCACGCACAGCCCCACTACTCTTGTCCCTCCTCCCTGCTGATCCTGTGTTTCATCCAGAAAAAGCAGAACTGAGGCCCCTAACTCAGTGCTGTTTTACAGGAGCAATTTAATATTGTCTCATCGCTGGGGTGCAGCACCTTCCTAACTGAGATATCTCTGGTTTATTATGGATTGACCCTCTCATATTAAAAGACAAAATTAGCCTTACATGCAAGCTATTCCCTGAGAGAAGGCAGAAAGGACATGTCTCATGTCCCTGAAGTTACTCCACCGACTACCAAAGCAATAACAGGCGTGTCATTTCTCAAGACAGTTGCACTGCACAAGACCAAACAGAAACTCTCCATAATTCTCAGCTGTTGCAAGTTAAAATTAAGTTTAGTTGGGTTTAACAAACTCATTGATAAACCCTGCAGTCTGTGAGTGATTTCTACTTTTGGTTATGGAAAAAAGTTATTTTCAGGAAGGAGCATGCCAGTCGCAGGCATGCCCTGTGGAAACGTGGAATGTGGTCATGATTACAAATGCTCGGATAAATGTTGAATAAAACCCATAACATGAATTTAAATACATGGCAATGCTTGAAAGAGAGGGATGAGTAATTCTGATGGAATGAAAAAATTAATCAGAAATCACATTTAGGGGCACAGATACCCACTGAACTCACATATTGACAATATGGTAGTTCTCATTTTAATGAAATAAAACCAAAACAACAAAAAGGATGATGAAGTATCCACAAATCTGAGATTTAAGAGTGGTGAAGACCAGGGGCTTGATCTAAAATCCACTGGAGCCAATCAAGCACCAACATTCAACTTCAGCCTGATTTTGGATCAAGGTCCTATGTCTTTTTGAATGAAGCAAATGGGCATATGAGTATGAAAGCCTAAACAGAGAAGAAAAGAATTGAAAGAGCTTACTCTCTACATATCTGTATGCACACACATATACCCACAAAACACAGGCTATAATTTCAGTTTACAAAAATTTTATTTATTGCAGCAGAGCTAAAATCTCTTCTTTAGTTAAAAAAAAAAAAAAAAGGAAAAGGTAAGTGGTGTCTACTACCAAAGATATACAGAATATTGAAATTATGGCTATATTGTACATCATCACTACAGCTAAAAGAACACAGCAGAGTATGCAACACAGACTGTGAACTAAAACCAGATAATTGAAAAAAAAATATATATAGTTGCTACTACCCCCTGAAATACTTTCTGAACAGTGGACATTGTGTTCAGACACGAGTTCTTGTAAGGGACAAGAATCATGTTTAAAACTGAAAGATTACCTGGATATGCCAGGTGTGAGGCAAACCATCCAATAAAAACATGCTAAACTTCCCCTAGCTTTCTTTGCTAAAAAAAAAGTCCCACCATCCCTGCTTTGCAGCCTTTAGCTGCATTACTCAGTTAATAAAACTGACCATACAGCAGTGGCTTTGTGGGACATCAGAATTCTTGTCCACTGGGGCTTCCTGTGTTAAGAGAACTTCACAGCAACTCCTCCTGCAAGAATTAGGAGCTGTATCTGGGTTACAAACCAACAGAAGAGCATCAGGGCCACGCTGTGTTTGAGTTACAGAGCTCTGGGCAGAATTTAGGAAGGCTTCACTCCATTTCATTCATCAAGGTGGCAGCACAGAATGTTTGAGCACGGAATGCACAGAAAGCGGTCCCTGCACACAGACCAGTTTCTCTCCTTTTTTCTCTAAGCCTACTTGTACGAAGGGGAAGAAGCAAAGGGGGTGAAAAAAATAAAGGAAAACTGAGCTACTCCTAGCACAAGTAACCAATTTTTTTTTTTTTTTTTAAATTAAAAACTTACAATTTTTCCTGTCTTCACTCTCCTTTAAAAGTACCTATCGCAACCTCCAAGGGTTTAAACGCTTTTGAACCCTTACCAGAACGAGGGCGACAAACAAAGAGAAATTAAACAGGAGCTGGGAGAAAGAGGAGCTATTTGAAATGATTGGAGATCTCAGCATTACTATTTGTGGAGGCTTTCACTGAGGCATCTGTGCATGCAGAGAGCGAGGGAGGAAAGGCAGCGCTTACCTGCTTCGGACAGGTCTCTGAGCGAGCTGCTCAGCGCGCTCCGCTTCAGCCCCTCCCCGGTGGCGTAGCTGTCATCCAGGCAGGCCCTGCTCAGGGTGCCGTTCCCAGAGTCCTTCTTCAGGCTGGAGCACTGGGACATGCTGGGACGCACCACCCCCTTCTGCTTCTCCAGCTCGGCTGAAACGGAGACGGAGATTTTGCAATTCACGTTTATCGATTAAAGAGCTCACGGATCGTCCTGAGCTGGGAGGAACCCATCAGGACTATCAAGTCCAACTTCTGGCCCTGCACAGACACCCCAACAATCCCACCCTGGCCTGAGAGTGTCATCCAAACCCTCCTGGAGCTCTGGCAGCCTTGGGGCTGTGCCCACTGCCCTGGGGAGCCTGTTCAGTGCCAACCACCCTCTGGGGGAATTATTACCTCTGCTCACAAAGGCTGCCATCAGCAACCAGTACACTAAATCCACTATCATGTTTTAAACCAATATATTATGCAGGATTTTTCAAATACCTCCTGTTATTCCTTAATTTATCTTTTATTTTTATATTCGCACCTTCCTTTTCCTTCAAATCTAGCAAGACCGATAGCAAAACTAAAAATAAGCACAACAGAGACAAAATGTTGAAAAACAAGAAAACTTCATCATTTGAGCTTAAATTGGAAGCTGGACAGAGTCCTCAAGATCTAAATTTCAGTAAGGAGCAAACCTCGAGGTTTTCCATGAGACTCATCATAGAACATCCCAATTTCTGTGTGTGATCAGGTATTATTGGGAATAATAAGACAGGGGTTTCACTCCTGTACTAACAGCTTTATGTTGCGACACACAGAGCCTCTTTCGGAAAAACAGGAGACAAAATTTCGTATTTAGACACTCATGGAACTTTCAGCAAAATATATCAACTTGTACCATGGTTACCTCATTGAGAAAACACAGAAATAACAGCATGGAAATCAAGAAAAATCCTGTGAAACTTATCTGATAGGTCATCATTGAGAATTTCAGTGTGATGTAAATTACACCTCAAATTCTTGCTGTAATTTATACCACAATTCACAAATCCACCTCTACCCTGTCCATTGCTATTTGCAGTTTGTCCAGGCTAAAATCCCACTCCAGCTACACAGCAGTAAATAGGAGTCAATGAACTCAGCTTGGCCGCAACATATCATCGGGTTTTTCCTCTTTCTAGAGTCAAACTCATGGAAAAAATCCCATTATCTGGAACTATTAAGGTGTTCTAATGGGTTATACACATATTCAGAACTGTCTTCCTCGGATTAGCTCGAAAATGCTCTATTATATGTACCTTTGTACTTACACTCTATTCTGTGCTTTTCCATTTCTTGAACTTCTGCAATGGACTCCCTCAAATCATCTGTAAACTTCTTCCTGTCCTGAGGATTTGGTGCATTGAAGTTGATGAGCACTTTGATATCTGCTCCTGGCACAGCTGACGTGAGCCGGATACCGTTGGGATAATCTGGAAGGGAAAGGCAGAAAAACTGAGCTCTGATTATTCCAATTACTTTAATAAAAAAAAACCAAAACACAACAAACCACCAAAACTCAAGGTTTTTTACTAATATTACCATAGAGGGTATGAAGTCAGAGAAATAAAAGTTGGAAGGCATAGAATTAGAATGAAGATCCATTGGATTAGCTTAACTGTCAAGATGCTGAATAAATATGCAGCTGTTACCCTTGAAGTAAAATCTACAATATAAAAGAAAAATATCAGAAAAAGCAAAAAAAACCAAGGGGATAATTTTTGTTTCATGGAACAGAGCCCATTACCTATCTTACCAAATTGTGGTCGAAGTTTTCCTGAGCAAAAACTACTCAGAGACATCTCAAGTACATCAAACTTGTTCTACTTGTAACATTTGCAGTGTGTTTGTCAATACTTCCTATTGAGCTGTGTTCCCTGAGAATCCTACTTTTCTTTCTTTTTTTTTTTTTTTAAAGTTAAAATTCTCTGTGAGATTACATACTGAAAAAAGTAAAAGGGGTGGTTTGTTGGTTTTTTTTTTTTTCCACCCCTCTTTTGACCCACACTATGGGCATCTTCAAAACAAAAGGCAGATTTTTCAGCAGGCTGTCTTTGCCTCTTTTTCTAGCTGCACATCTGAGACTGCAAATTTTAACAGCTGGTCAAAAATATCTCCTGGTTGAGACAGAAGGTTCATTTACAGAAAGGTATTTTAAGTTCTCTAGAAAGCAGAACCAGCCTTTGCTTGAAGCACAGACCTGTAGAAATGGGGTGTCAGAAAACCTTCTCGAAATGTTAATTTTAACTCCCAGTGTTCTCTTTTTCTCAGCTGCTTTACCTTCTTGGTTTGCTACAGCTCTCAAATATTTACTTAAGTATGGAAGCCGAAGTTCAAGGGCTCCCAGGCACTCAAACCCATTCCCTCAAGAGCCAGCAGATGATGGAAGGCAGTTGCCCTCCCCTCAAAGCCATCAGGTTTCAAAAAGACTTCAGCTACTGGGAAACAAGTACAGATGCTGCTCTTTTTCAGAAGGACACTTCCAAATTTTTATTCCAGATTTACTTTTAGAAGAACAACTCCCAAATCAGAGCTGCAGCTAAAGGTGAAGCGAGTCCATTCACCATTTCAAGGGGAAAATTGTGCAAGTCCCACGAGGCTGGAAGGGTCCAGAGGGAAGGAGGGGTTTGGGGTTCTGTGGGGTCTGCTGGCAGCATCTTGCTGGGAATACTGCCATTGGGATATGCAGCAAACAGCTCTACAAAGTGCACCACTTCAGGGGAAAACCCAAAAATGCTTTCAAAACCAAACAAGGAAACCTGGTAAAAACCCAAAGTCACACGGGCTGCCTCCACACATGAACCAAGAAGGACCCTCCACATCCTAAAGAAACACATGTATTTTATTAGCACAGATATTTCACTGTACTGATGAAGCCTTGGGAGACACTCCCATCAGTATTTACTGGTTTCAGACACTCTCTCTCTGCAGTGACCTGCTCCCCCTTTATATATTACTGACTGCCTGAAAATGTAAAAGATACTTTGCTTCTGGCCTGTTTATTTCCTACAGATACATGACATTATTCTCCCTTTTGGAGCTCATCAGCCCTCAGCATAACTGACTTCTATCATTAAAAGCCAACTCTTCTATCGCCAAAGCCCATCACGCTGTTCAACCTCACCAGCAGCCAAACCAAGAGTTTTGTTATTTCTGCTCAAGCAACACTGATTTTGTTCACCTGAAAGCAGCTGGTTCTGAGAGCTGCAAACACAGAGATTGACTGGTTGATGGCCACGAGAGCCCAAAGCATGCTGGGGACAGGGGAAACCGAGAACACGGATTTGACAAACCAAAGGAGAAAAATACTTCTCTATCCCCACTGGAAGGGGAAACTTTCCCTACCTGACAGGCACTGACACTGGAAGTACAATCTGTTCACCGATTCACTGAAGCCCAGCTGTGCCTGTTGAAGTGTTTCAGTTAAAATGCCTCCAGTTCCCTGGGAGAAATCCAACCCTTTGCTTCTTGTGTCACTATGTGTGTTTCTAAGTTTATTTGAATAGTGGTTGTACTTTGTAACGCTTATGAGATATTTTTTAATATTTTATTTAATTTGACATCAGAGGAAATAAATATTCTTCTATTTTCAGTAGAATCCAGGATAAGTATATTTGCCTTTCGTCCCAAAACTGAATTTTATATCATATAATGTGTGCACAAGAGAGAGAATGAATGTGTAAGCATACTCTGCTCTGCTGTTAGTGCTGATGCTGCCTTTGAGCTTAAAAGCAGGGCTTTAGCAAACTATTTGGGTTCTTTTGTGGGGTTTTTGTTGTTAAGACTAAGTTTGAGAAGCATGAAACATAAAAGGAAGATTGGATTGATGCAGATTGCAACAGGCATAAACAAAAGGTGTCACAAGATACAAGCTTGAATCCAAACTCTCTGCTTTGTATTTACATTTGAGTGAGTATATATTACCTGGGCACAGTTAAGACATAAATCAGGAAAATAAATTAAACAATGTTTTGAATTAACACACATCATTATAGGAGTAATTATGTATTCTCATTCAGTGGCACTGCCTCAGCAACAGACGTGTTTGTTTCTTGACAAACATTTTATTCTTTATCAGTAGTCACAAACAACACATTTGGGAAGATTTAGTTTCTGACTACAACCAAAAACTAGCAGTCTTGCTGCTTCATATGCTGAGAGCATCTTATTTTAAACTTTAGGGCTAAGTTAAATTCAAAGCAATTTTATTCTGAAATCCAGAGCCAAGTCCTGTCCACCTCTTTTGCTCAAACATTATTTTATTTTATTTTAATGTTATTTTTATTTTAGTTTTAAGCAAAATGCTCATTTAAAAAGAGAGGAAATACTTACACTGGTTCTCAAAGAGAAGGACTTGCATTCCATAGAGGGAAAAGGACTGTCGAAAACTGTATGTAACAGAGTTCTTCTTCTTCTGAAAAATCTTGGTCACCTGAAAGTTACCAAATAAACAAAATGAAATCCCCCTCTTACCATGTGTGCTTGTGGAAAATTATTGCTCTTAAGAATCAGAATAAGAGAAAACACTTTATTCAAAAGGAAGCTATAATCTGCCAGAGAAAATGTTAATTGTAATTGTTTTGTTTTCTTTAAATGCAACTGCTATGTTTGATCTACTGCTACTGAAGAAACAAAGCTAACTCTGCAGCACCATATCTCTTAAGCAGAAGGGTTAATATTTTATCCAGAAACAAAGCCTGTGGGTCCTCCATTCTCCAGAAATCCCACTTCCTGAAATTCCAAAAGGACAAACCCCTCTGCACCCTTACAGTGCACTGCACATGATATCAGGACAAAGTTTAAATTACTGCTCTTTCTCTTTATAAAGAGGTTTATTTTCACTAGTTCTTTCCAATTTTAACTTTTAGTGATGGCATTTTACCGGAACTGATAGATTTGGTCTGTATTACTCCCCAAACAGTTTGATAAAACTACTGACATCTGAGTAAGTCATAAAAAAACGACAGAAGACTTGCAGCCCAAAGACAGCAACGTTCCACCAGTTCCCACTCAAGCCCACATTTACAACCAGGAGGATAAACTCATAACCAAAAGGATTCATTTCTGTATTTACTTGCTGCATTTAAGGTCTGAAGGTTTGTAAAAATGACACACAATAAAATTGTGAGTGTGAAGGCTGCCTTTCTCGTAACAAAGTATTAAATATTTAGTTTAGTTCTTAGTTCTCGGGCACATCCCAAGGAGAGTGCAACGAATTTTCCTATTTTTAAGAGTAAACCAACCAAATAATTCCAAGCTGTCACTAGTTTTCTATGTCTGTTTGTCAAAAGAGCAGGTCACGTTAAAGTCTGTGAGGATAAGTGCACGCTAAAAAGTAAACTCAGCTGTAAAATCTATTTCAGCTTATCCTATTCCTATTTCAATGCACACACAGATCTGCTGGAAAAACATCTGGGGAATACAAAGTAGTGTGTAATTTTGTTTTTCCACAAATACCTCGAATTCATAATTCACAGAATAAAGCTGTCTCTTGTTTACCCATTAGGGAAATGGGTAACCTGGAGGTGAGGGGTTTTTTTTTCTCTATAGTAAAAGCCATTTCATCCAACACCTTCTTACAAAAGAGCGCAGCAATCAGGAAAAGGCTTCAGTTTAAAAGCAAATTACATAGAATCAAGAAAATTAAGATATAAATCTGTTAATCATCCCAAGATTCTGGAGTGCAGAGTAAGAGATAATAGATATTTATTTTTAGGAACGCTCCTGTATTTAACTGGAGTTGGGATTTCTGAATACCTCACTCCAAGTCTGCCCGACGGGAAATACATACCACAAGAAGATCATTAAATAAAAATATTTCTCGCTGGTGCAATCCAAGCTTCTGAGGTTTATTGGGATCTGGGACTTCAAAGAGCCTACAGTAGCAAACAAGCCTCCGGTGGGGTAGGGAGAGCACCTGGGATAATACAGAAGTCCATGGTTAATAAAACAACATTTAGCCAAGAAGGAGCATCTTTCCTACACAGATTTTTTTTTCCTTTTTAATAATTCAAATATTTTTACCTCCAAGCCCATCAGACTTTCCCATCAAAGGACCGACAACAGGAATATAAAGATTTCTATGCATGGCATCCAAACTTCATCAAACTTCTATCAGATACTCTCTATCAGCTTTTATTCCTGTATATAGATGCCAATGGAAGTTCTATGGGAGAGAGCTTCACTTTGTGAAATGATAAAAAAATGATAAAAAAACTTTCTGTCAGCCACTGAGTTAATTCCATTTGGTCAACTCCCCAGTACCGAGGAAATGGTGACATCAGGACAAAGTAACTGCAGTTTCAGTCTGTTTGATTTTCTCATGCCAGTAAGGAAATCAAGACTGATTCTCCATTTCCTTATTGGAAATATCTGCTGAGGTATCTCCAAAGCTGCTGTTGTCAACACAGTGAGCCTCTATTTCCTTCCAGTGCACGTGATGAGATCTCACCAGCACTACCAAAAGAAATCCATAAAATGGTGCATTGTAAGAACAGTTTTAGGTTTGTTACTGAATGTGCCTTTAACTTTAATCTGGGATCCATGTTTTCTATGTTCAGAAGTAAACCTTAAAATCAACTGGCAGTATCTTCCCAGAGTATCATTCAATTCTCAAATGGACCAGAAAGAACAAACACACCAGGGCCCAGGTGCAAAGGTGAGGTGTGACTGTGATTTTTACTTATTGGTTTATTCTTCACTGGCAGGGTAATTTCTACTGTGATAACAGCATTTGAAATGAATAAAAAGTGTATTAAAAAGGTCTAGGAAACTCTTGGTAATAAATTAGGCAGTCTCTGGGAAATACATTTTTAAGAAATCTTTGTAGAGTTATTACTACAACACCAGGAAAAATTTTGCTTGAAAGAACACCAATGATTTCAAATTTTAAAACGTAACAGAACGCTTTATTGTCAGTTTAGGAAAATGCTGCCAGCTGCAGTGACTGTAAATTTTGAAGGAGTATGAGAGAAATACCTACACAACCAAGTCCATGGTGCAGAGATCCAATCTACAGTAGAAAGACACATACAAGTTGATTAAACTTCAGAGAAACACAGAACTGTATCATAGCAATAATGACTATGACTAAACGCCTATAAAGTAAAAACAAACATAGCTATCAATAAAGACTCTTGCCTGTTCCCCAAATTTTCTTGCACACAGTTAAAAAGTCTCCCAGCAGGAGAATCCTTCAACACAGGACTCCAGTGAGGGCATTGTTTTCTTAATCCCAATTAATTGACAAGGTGGGGATCAGTTTTAGGATTGGAATGGCCACATGCCTGAATAAAACAGGAGCCAGGGGAAAAAAACATCTCCCAAAGAAGTCTATAACCCCAAATCCCCAAACAGTTACAGAAGGGGAGTTTCATGTGAAACCATAAGTGACTGTCAAATACTGACTTCAGAATATTTATTTCCCTTCTTCTCAAAATCAGTTAAAAGTTTTTATTAAGGAAATTTTGCTTTCTTTTCTCTGCTTCTTCAGAGATCTCCTCAGTATGTCCTTCACTGGGATACAGACCTAAATTAGGATTTTTTTGGTGGTCCCTCATTCCCTTCCCCCGTCCCCTGTGCTGAAGATCATCTGAGAAGAGCTTACAATTCAAAGCTCTTTAAAAGCAATAGGGAAACTCTGGAGATCCACCTTCTTTTTCCTAATAACAAATCCCCCAACCCGTCAGACCCTGCTGTGGTGAAGTTGCCCAGAGCTGATAAAAAATGAATGTAGGACTTCAAAAACAGGCAGGTCTGGGCTCTTTTTGCCCTTTCCACATTAGATACTGGTAGAATATTGGTAAAATACTGGTTTTAATATCTCTGTGTTCACTCAGCTCCTAAATTGAAGGTAAAATGCTGTGGCCTTTCTTTTCTCTCCCTTTTTTCCAACAGATGCTTTGAAGATTTATTTGTGTAGCAAAATATTTCAGGATTTTTTCCCCCAGCAAAGAAAGAGGAATCTCTGGATGCTCAAACCCAGCATTAGGATCTCTGGGACCTGATTTCCAGATGTGTTCTGAGTGAAATGATTCCATCTCCCCTTACCAATCCCAGGTCATGGGAGCTGTGGAGCTGAGAAAGATTGCTGGTGTGAATGGAAGTTCTCTGTTACTCTTTTAAATTATGGAGCCATAAATGACAGTGTAAATTCTGAGATATGATTCTCTGCAGCATCACATGAACAAAACACTTCAATTCTCTTGCAATAAACAAGAGAACTGCCTAAAATGCAGGTATTTCAGACTTGTAAAGCTTCACATAAAGAATTTAAGACTCCTTACATCATCACCTCTGAATACCAGACCACAACAAGGAAATCCACGTGCACTGTGAACACCCCAGGATTTAAGTCAACCTTAGAGCAAATCATTATTTGGACAGTTTGCCATTTATAAACCAATTTATCTCCTAAGCAATCCCCTCCTGTCCTGTCCTATGCTGTGCCCTGCCCTCCATGCCCCTGGTTTTAGGATTTGAACTGCCACGTGCCTGAAGCTGGAAAGAACCAGGAGAGCCTTTCTATAAACCTAAATCCCCAAACAAACTGGACTTCCAGGCACAGGGAACTCACCGGTTTCTTGCCCACGATGAGCTTTTCCACCTTCTGCACCTGGGACACGTGATCCTCGTTGGTTTTCAGCTCCCGCTTGCGGATGCGCTCGTAAATGCCGATGAGCATCTCCCGGGGGATGTCCTCCCCATCGTCCACACCTGCAGGAGCCAACAGTCCTGTCAGCAGCCTGGCTCTCAGGGCTCTCACAGGCACTGTTCTCACCAAGCAGAGGGTAAAAGCATGAGCACTTGGTTTTTTCCCTGCTCACAGTGATGCCACTGTTGCCTGACTGCTCGTGTGTTTTACAGCTCGCCAGCCCACACCTCCTGCGTGCCCTGGTCCTCCCTCACCAAGGCAGAAGTGATGCTGCTCATTATTTAAACACTGATTTTTTGTCCCAAAGCACCGTGACATTGATGGAAATTACACAGGTTTGAATTTTTGTTTTAAAACTCGAAGCTCAAGTTAAGCCATTAAAAGTTTAATGTCTATGATATTTTTTTGCTTTTTCTTTAAAGTTTCCTCTGTTTGGTATCAAAGCTGCAGTGAATTAAATTACTCTTTAGTCACTAAAACCTCCATATGACCCCTCCTAGGAATATACACCCCTGGGAGGAAGCAGAAGAACTGTTCCATTTTGCCTCTGTCTCAGTATCACTCAGGGCTGTTCAGAACATCATTTCCTACGCGAGAACCTCATGAACAACCAGTAAAATTAATTTAACCAATATTTCTTGCAAGATTTCAAAAAAGAACTAATTTACTCTGCAAGAACAAGTCAAGCAAATAGCCTAGATAATGTTTAGCGCTGTGTGCTGATCACTGGCACGTCATCCCAACAAACACAGCCCTCAGTGCTCGATCCTCAATTTTTAACAGCCATGGAAGGAGTCCAATTTCACTAAGTGACTTAAAGCTGCATTTCCTGGGGACAGGGAGATGCATGTCTATTTTGAGAACAGGTTTTAAAGCAATAAACTCTTCTCTCCCATTCAGACTATTTTGCCACCCAGTGGAACAACTGCTCACATAAGAAATGCTGGGATAAAACACAGTTTCTTTGCAGAAAGAAGGAAGCCAAACCGCCTCTTGTTCTGTTCCCCACCACCAGGCCTCCCACAGACCACCTCTGTGGTGCAGGGATTTGAAGTTACAGGCGAGGTAACCTGTTACAAAAATGCCTGCAAGAATAAAAAAATTGCTGGAGATCAGAGAGAAGGTACTGCATAAAATACAACTATTGTGACTGCAGGGCTGTGCCAAGAGATGAATATCAGGCCTTTTGGAATATTTGTGGACTTTATGATAAAATCTCAGCACTAACTTCAACCTTGCTAAGCTAAAACATCTGCTGAGCACAGTCTGTTCGCTGTTGCCTTGTATAAATCTCGGGGAATAAAAGCACCAAACGGGACCTGCATTCTAAAGAGCTGAAATTCCAGAACACCACAAGTATTTTGGTTTTCCTGGTACTGAAATGGAAGTGCCACGTGAACACAAAGAGCCCTGCACCTGAGATGTGCCTATATACAGATATATATCTTTATATATTAAGCACCTTGGTTCTATTTTTCTGCCATCTGGTCCACTTTCAGCTCTACTCAGTGACTCCTTCCTGTTAGAAAGAGCTGAGCTGATACTTCACAAAAAGTTCTTTCCCCACAAAGAACCAGGATAGAAAGATCTGGGATACAGATGTGAAAAAACACCTATACTTTTCTGGCAATCTAATTGCAAGCTTAGGTGGACCATAGCCTGGCAGATAATGTCTTGATCAGAAAATACACCAATGAAGAAATCAAAATTAAATTTCTGGGCTAGTTACACCTTTCAGGAAGGTCTTGGAGGTGGGGTTTTAACTTTTACTCGGTGAGAATTTAAATCTCTGATTAATTGCCTGAAGTTCTCTTCAGAGCATAGTGATTTCTGATCCTCAGTATTCATATATGTACACATATATATATATACATATACACACACATATATGTATGTGGGAATAAAAGGACCTGACAATATATCCACTCTTAAAAATTAAGACACAATACTACATAATTAATTCTGTTTTCATTATTGCAGAAATAATTAAAGCCTGTAAAAATGGCAGCAGTTTCAAGTCAGGACAAATGAGCATTGAGTGCCCTGTATTTTGTCCTTTCCCAGACGATCCCGCTGTCCCTGCAATGACAGTTACAGGGAAAAGCTTTTCAGACCTTCCTTGCCAGAGTTCTCTCACCCCTCAGGTTCTTGACAAAGTCCTCCAGCTTCATTTTTCGCTCTGGTTTCACATTTGGGCTGTACATGTCTGTGTTGAGCAGGATGATGGCGAAGGCCAGGATGAAGATGGTGTCGGGATTCCGGAATTGTCTCACCACCCCCGGGTTGCAGATACAGTATCTCTGGCTGGAAAAAAGCAGGGAGGGGAATCTGTCAGAGCCAGGAACTGCTTCTCCAATTCCACCAAATAAACCAGCTGCTGCATTCCAGAGGCTGAGCGAGCTATAACTGGTGTTCCATACATATATTTAGCTTTCCAGCCACGTATTTCCATGAGCCAATCCTCGAATGTGGAAGGCTTTTGTTCTCTACTACCACTGTCATTTCACCTCTTAGTACAGATTCTGAGCTACAGTAACTTCAGGATTTCATTTTTCTCAGTGATTAATGCCCTGACACCAGGTAAGGACACAGCATTGATTCTGGCTTACTGCCACAGGGTGATTTCCATCTTATCCTGCCCTGGATAAAGTACACCTGTGTTAAGCACTGACAAGTTAATGCTCCTGTTTTCCACTGTTGTTGAAGTGCTTAAAGAAAAGCTGGGAGCGTATATACTCTAAAATGTAAGTGGGCTCATCAATCCAATCATATAAACTACTATATCCAAATATATTGTTAGAGACACTCAAAAATCCTTGGATATTTTTTCAGCTGGTGCCAGAAAGAACTTTTAATTGAGAAACCTTGTTATGTTAATAGAAATGCCATCCATGAAGAGCACCAGCAAAGGAAAAGTCCTATTTCATACTTAGCAAAAGCCCCACAAACACCACCACCCAGTGCCACGGTCTGGCAACCATGGTGGGAGTGGATCAAGGGTTGGACTTGATGATCTCAGAGGACCTTTCCAACCCAGCTGATTCTGTGATTTATTTGGAACTGCTGGTAGCTCAAGAGGACCCTGCAAATAAGCAGGGAAATAACTTGGATCTGCTCAACCTCCCCAGCTGGACCGTCAGGCAGCAGCAGCTTCTGATGGCTGATTCCAGTCTCTCACCTGAAGGCTTCAATGAGCCGTTCCACCTTCTGGGCTTCTCCCTGGACACGGATATGAGCCTGAAATTTCCTGAGTGCCTCATCCAGTTCCATGGCTGAGAAGTCCATCTCATCCACCACACAGCTAGGAGAGAAACAGAGCCCATCGTGTCTCTTCATTTCTAACAGCACAGAACCAAAGGTCAGACTTCAAACCAAAACACCTTTTGAGTTTCCATCTGACAGAGACTCATGGAATTGTCCTTCAAACCTTCAGCAGCAATGGCAGTAACTGCAGGTAACCGTGAAGGAAGGCTGCAAACAGGGGATCAATGAACATGTGTAAGCAGACCCTTTTTGTTTTTTAACAGAAGAGCTGCTGGAATGACAAATGCCTGACCGATTTAAGGGATGTACCTCTGCCAACAGTAATTATTAGCTTTGTGCTTCCAGGCCAATCAACCATCACAATGCCTGCAACAATAATAAATAGTTTATATCATATCACAAACAGCCTGCAGCAGGCACAGTAATCTGCACCAAATGGCTCTGTGTCTGGGAACATTCTTACATACAGAGAAAAAAAATGACCCTGTTTGGATAGTCTCTTATTATGACTGTAATTCTCATCTCCCCATCATTTGCCATGTCTTTCAGTTAACACTTATGGAGAAATAATTACTTGCTTGCTCAGAAAATACAGTGCTGACAAAAAATAAGAAAAAAGGAACCATTTTAATATAATCAACAATGTGAATTATGTCATCCTAATGCTTTAAAATCAGAAGCTTATAAATTTCCTTTCTTTAAACTTATCTTTTAGTTTTTAAACAACCAGACACGAACTACTGTAATGCAGAAACCACAGAAAGCACAATCCACTTTTCAAAGCTTTTTCTTAAATGTATAGTTTTACAATGACAAATGAGAGTAGATCATACTCTTCTTCCAGTAAAACTGCAGCTAACATAAATTAATAACCAAACAATTTATTCCCCTTGCCTGGACTATTTTTCCCTTTATGCAGAACCACTTTAGGCTTTCCAATCCACACCCAAACCCCCTTATCAGTTCTGCAGTAATGCCCTCAGTCTTCCCACCTAATTCCAAGTTCTGGAACACCAAAACCCTTTTCTCCTTCAAAGGTATAAACACATGTGCAGCCCAGCTGGAGTCAAAATGAACTAATTAATGCAATTAAGGACCTCCAGAAACGTGCTGGCCAACAACAGAACGGGAAGGGTCTCAAAAGATTTGATATGAACTATGGAGACAGCAGATAAATCACCATGGCCACTGTTTATCACCACCACCACCAGGCAGCAGCTACAGCAGGCCCAGAATTCAGCTCTTGGTCAAAAAACTTAGGCTGTTCTCATGGATATTTTCTAAGCTCAAGATATCAAACAGCTAAAACACCCAAACTTACAGGAGCTGGGAAACTTGAACACAAACCAAAGCAATAAACTGTGTAACAGCAAAAGGATCGTGTTTTAAACTGCCTTTTCTGTGTACCCACCTGGAGCTATATCTGTTTGACAAAATTTACCTCCAATCTGTAAATATGATTTTTAGGATTTTACTGTCTCTTTTGAAGAGAAAATACCCTGCTCCCATTTGCAGGCAAGTTTCAGGGCACTATCCAGAGAACCCCAAAGCCTGGCTGAAACAGCTCAGTTAAGAACACATTCATTTCAACAAATGATTGCTGGGGGGATGTAGCAGGTGAGTCTGACCTCGTTCTTTACAATTCACCTCCTCCCAGACAGAGACACACCTCTGCTTAAGTCTGTCTGAGGTGCTGAGGGCAAGTGATTCGTTCAGCATCACAAAATGCTCCACGGAATCAGAGTGGCTTGGCCTGGGAGGGACCTTAAAGATCAGCTAAGATTAGAATCCATCTCGCCCTGAACCTGGTTTTCCCTTTAACAAAAAAAAAAAATAAAAATTAAAAATAGACACTTTCTGGAGAGTCTTCCCCCTAGTTTGACCCATAATCACAAAATGCAGCTGATCCCTGTGAGTGGCCAGCGGTGACTCATGCTGAATGAACAGGGACTGCATCCAAGCAAGCCACATTCCGTGACTCTGCAGTGTCAGCCTGGCTCCAGGCTCTGCTTTGGGGGTGCTTCCCTTGCTTTCTGCTGGGGCTTGGACTGTAAGAAGGCAGCTTTTAATAAGGCACAGGAAAGAGAGAAAAGACCTCTAGAAAAAGTCTCTGCATCTGTAGCCCAAGGCAGATTTCACTACAGCTTTCATTATATTGTTAAATAAAACAGCTATTTAAAAAAATGGTGGTGAGAAGTTTCTCTAGGCTTCCTTAATGGGAAAGATATTGTGGTTTTTGCTAAAATTCTCAGCAGTTTTGTTAGGCATCTAGCTAAAATTTTATACAATATCCTGGAAAAAAATGGACTAAGATGTATTCATGTTTACAGGCCAGTATGTCAGATACAAAAAAAAAAAAAAAGCCCCAAAGAAAACATGTTTTAAATTAACACCCTCTTAAAATAAAGCAACTTTGGTCTACTCTCTATATAAGGTTTACATATTTATGACCAAGCTGCTAAAAGTCTAATTTTCTGCTTTGCATTTCTTTTGGTTTTTAAGACCTGGTTTTCTTTATCTAATCTTTTGGAAAATAACAGTTTGTATAGATCTTGTCAGCACGTGCCTGCCCAGGCACAAATCCCTCCTTATCTCACATCTGAGCCATTTGGCTCTAATAATGATTCTCGAGTTCTGTTACTGATTAAGCCTTATGTGGCCTACAATATTTTTGAGTTTCATTCAGTAAATTATCTGGGGAAGGAAAAAAAAAACAAAAACAAAAAACAACAGACCTTTGAAATAACATCCTCTAAGGCCTATGAAATTAAAAAACATAAATTTAGAGTAAAATGCACGTGGCTGCAGAGAATCTAAGTCCCTGTGAGCATCTTGCTGGATCAATAACCGAACCAGCAGCTTACCTGGGAAGCAAAGATGCTCGTGTGCATCTTTTTTTACCCTCTGGAGCGTGGCTTCCTCACCTCTCAGAGGAAAGCACGGGACACCCCGAGACTGGTGAAGCACCGAGGTGAGTGCTGAGCAGGAGAACACCCCCCTTCTCCTCTTCTCCCCCCCACGACACTCACTCCAGCACGTCCCGGTTGAACTGCTTCTGCCGATTGCCCAGGAACTCTCCGATCATCTGCCTGCTCAGCCCCTTCCTCTGCAGCAGAAAGTGGGCGACGCCCACGGGGGTGTCCGGCACGAACCCTCGCTCAATGAGGTACTGCACTCCTTTTTCAGGTTTCCTGAGGAGAGAAGGGAACGCAAAACTATTAATTTTCTTCCATTTCTGCCACTCTGGCAATCACTTTTAACCAGTGTAACACCACTGGGGATGAATGCAGCCATCCCGCTGGACACATCGCTCACTGCTCATAGCTGAAAGCACCAAGCAGCTTTGAAAGCATCTCTGCATGTTATTACACATTTCCCTGCTCCACAACCCTTCCAAAGAGCAGCTTTGTGTTCAGGCAGCCTCACTTGCCAAACGCCAAAGACGAGCCCAACACCAGCCACTCAAGGCTCCTGTTGCTGGGAGAGAGGGACCTTCCACAAACTGAGCTGAAAAGCTGCTGCTGGAAAACAAGGAACAAAGAACAGCCCCGACCTCCCACCCCACTGCTGTCAGAAGTTAAACATACTGAACAAAACAAGCGGTGCAGCTTCCAAGCTGAGAGGACAAAAAATGGAAGGGAAAACTGAAGGCAGTCGAGCAAAAAGCAGCAATTAAAAATGGTGCAGCTCCCGTGTAATTTAGATTTTTGTTTCTTCCTCGTCCTTTAACACACCCATTGCCCCAGATCTCCCTCCCTCAGACAAGCACCTTCTTAGTCGCTGCAGTATTTTACATCTCTTTGTACCTCTCCAGATTTAGCTGTAACCATTTTCCCACCTCAAAACAAAGCAAGTTGAAGCTACTCATCGTAACTTGTTAAGAAGTGCGCTCTGGGGAGGAGGGGTGGGATGGAGCTGCTTTCTGGCAATAAAACATACAGGTTATTAAGGCAAACGCTGCTCAGATTTAAAGTGATGCAAAACTGTCCTCCCAGCACAGACTGCACTGTCACCCAGCAGTGCCACACAACAACCCACCATCACTCATTTTAGAGATACTAGAGAGGGATCTTTAAAAAAATCAGTAATTCCATCAGCAGCTTTATTTTGTAAAGAATTATAATATAATGTCCACCTGTCTGACCCGATGGATGCTTCCTTTAAGGCAAGTAAAATCAATTTCTAAGGACAAGGTGACCGCACTATTTTTAGGCAAGGTTGATCACACGACCATAACCCTTCCCCAGGGCTTTTAATTGCAAACAGCATCACTAAATACATCACCAGACAGTTCTCCTACTCTTTTACACTGCATTATTATACACTTAAGACCCAACTAAGAATTAGACAGATGAGAGAAATATATATAATTTAATCGAAAGGGACCTCTCAAATCTCAATTTCTTGCCTCAGCTTTGTGCCTCTTTTCATCTGAAATGAGATTACACACACACAGTCATCTTCTGAAATTAATCTCCTTTGTACTAAAGAAGTACCTTTTTTTTGCTAAGCAATGTAATTGCCACATTCATATGCTTTTGAGCTGTATTTCAGAATTGTTAAGCTTAATTTAAATTCCCAGCATCCAACAAAAGCAGGAGTTTTCTCCATGCCCCTTGTTAGTGAGCTGCATTTGTCCATAACGTCCAAAGTGATACGGACCCAGGAGAGTTCCTCTCCAGCAACTGTCAAAACACCTCAAAGAGCACTCAGGAAACACACCTTGATCCAAAGATCACCTTCACTTGACATATAAACAATGCTAGATCATTACTTACTGTACTGAAAACCAACTTGGATTCCTGCCAACCTGCACGAGCCTGAACGTTTCGAATCACAAAGGTGACACATCATTTATTTTTTTTTTTTTTAGTTAGTTTTATTGCTGCTGAAAGCTCCCTCCCACCCCACCCCAGGCGTGATATTATCTTATTCAGGAGGGAAAGTATTTAACAGAACACGATGACTCTGTCAGAGGGCTCTGAATTGCTGTGCAAAAAAATACCCAGGCAGCAACAAGGGTTTGGGGAGGGCAGGTTTAAAAAGACACCACAAGCAAGCAGGGATTCTCCTGCTGGCAAACCCAGCTGTTCAAAACTGGACAAACTTTCTTTTTTCACCAGGCCCTCAGTTTTTTTCCTGAAGTGTATGACTGGATGCAGAAGGGAACGGGACATGAAAGGGTCATGGATTTAACGTGGGATAGGACACCTGGCATAAGTTTATCCTCATTTCTGTCTGCTCAGAATTGAGCACAGACCGTTTTGTACTTACAATTAAGTCTTTTGTGATTAGGAAAATTCCCAGTGATGCTTCTTAATTACACCTCCCAATAACAGGGAAGATGAGAAGCCTATAAATAGCAATCGAGGAAGCAGCATAAGCAGAGCAGTTATTTCCAGATTTGAATACATTAACTAATATCAAAAGAAACCCTCTAAAGCCACCACCTTCCACAGCTGAGGAGATAGGTGTTTAGAGATATTTAGACATATTTAGAGAACTTTTGATATTTACATGATTGTTTCCAAAATAAAGCTTGAAACTGTCTGCTGTCTCAAAAATAAACCAAACAAAACAACCAACACTGAAAGGAATCTACTAAGGAAGAAAAAAAAAATCAACTAACACAAAAAGATGTGCAAAACCACATTTACACAGGATTCTCAGGTGTTGCTTGAAGGGCTAAGGACCTTGCCAGAAACTGTGTAATAACAAGACCTTTAGAGTGGTTTAAAGTGACTTTTAGGGGAAAAACACTGATGGAGGAAATGATGCAAACTTCAAAATAACAGCTCAAACGAGTATATTTTAATAAGCTTGCTTCTCAGAGAGTACTGGTCACCTCCAGTCCAAATCTGGTCTTTGTGTGTTTCTGGAAGCAGGCTGGGTCCTGGATTCTGCAGCAATTCTTGGACACTAGCATCTTCAGGAGAAAGCATGTTCAAGGATTGAAGAGTACAAAAGCACACACCAAAACCAGTTAAAAAACAAAGAGCAAACACCCTGAACCTCCCTAAAAAAAAAAACACGTTCCCTCAAAAGCCAAGACAACAGTAAACTCCTGCATATCCCTGCTGTTTCCTCTAGTCAGTATTATGCCTTTCCTTCCCAGGTGTAAAACCGGAAGGGAATTTCTTTGTTTAGGTGGGAGTTATTTATTTACTCAGTCAGTTCTACCTGCAGTTCTGAAAGTGTAAATTCACTGGAAGTTCGTGTAACTTGCTGCCATCTGTGTAGATCTCATTGGAGTGGGGGTTTGTTGGGCATTTATAGCTTGGAAGCCGAGATGGAGTTGTTTTTTGTTTCCTTTCAACATCTGTGCAGGTTGAATCCCCAAAAGTGACAAAAAGGTCTGTATGTGTAGGATTTTTGTTAATCTAAGTGATGTATGAGGCTCTCCCAAGAATGAGCTCTGCTTTGGGGTACGGGGTAGAAGGGAAAAGAACAATAAGAAACAGGGGAATAACATCAAAGTTGGTACATTCCTGAAAGAAGAGTCCCTTATCCAAGTGAGGAATATATAAAAAAAAAAAAGGATGTTTTTCCTTAGACTAAAACATACTCGTGTACAAGCAGCACAGTATTGTTAGAAAAACATTGCATTCCTCATCTTCCACTGCCATGAGCAAATCAGTAAGGAGAGCAGTGATCCAGACATCTCAGTGCCATTACTTGTCTCAATTAACTTCCACCTGGTCAGAGGAAACACTGACAGAGAAGTTTAAGATACATGATTATTACAAACATTTACACCGTGTGGGACTGTCCCTACCTGCAAGGACAATCCCCATTTAGCTGCTGCAGAAAATCTGGATTGCCAGCAATAAAAAACCAGACTAAAACTCCACGAGTTACTCAACATGGACTGCCAAAATAAAATAACATCATTCCAGTCCCTGGTCTGACACCTCCTTTGCTTGAATTCTGTTTTCAGAAGTGCTCGAGAACCTGCCCGAGTTTGAGCGAGCAAAAAGTCGGTCAGAAACCCCTCCTGCTTTAAAGAGGGGAAGGATAATCTGCTGACTGACTGCCCAAAGCTTTCAGGAACTGTGCTCACACAGCCCAGCAGGCAGTGCAGGGTCAGGGGCAAACACACTGATTGCTTTGGGGCCACAAAAAGAAACACTGTTAGAAACACAGCACCTTTTGCTGCTGTTGGACATGAAGCACCACCAGTCTTCAGAGGCTTTGCATTCCCTAGATATTCAAAATGTTTTCTTTAAAATGACAGGGAATACCACAGTGCAGTGATTCTGAAAAGTGAATTTGGTAGAAGAAAAGCTTTTAGTTGGATTCTGGATGGTAAGAGAGATCAGCACAGGCTTAGCATGTACTGTTACCCACAGGACTTGGAGCCAGTCTTACTGCCAGACCAACACTAACCCCGAGTGCTGCAGCTGGAGGAGCACTTCAGGGGCAGTGCCAGCACTGACATCAGCCCCTTCCCTTGCTCCTACAGCTGGTTTGGGACTTCCTCACAAGCTGTTCTAGGAGAAAAAGAGGTTTTGTAGGTTTGTGTTGGGATTTTTTTTTTTTTTTTTTGGGTGGGGTTTTGGTTTAGTGGTTTGATTTGGTTTGGTTTTTATTATCATTTTTTTTAACCCAGCCAAGCTCTCCCATGGCTGCACCATCAGTTGTACCATCCAAGCCACAGCGTGGATAAAGTGCCCATGTCCACAGCACACCAAGAGAAGAGAATAAATAACAAGCACTACCTCAAAAAGAAACCTTCCACAAAACCACAGTGCAAAGGTGGTGAAAACCTTCTCTATCCCCCACTTGTGTAAAGCTTACAAACACCCAAACCACACGAAATCTTTGTATTTCCTTTTAGAGCTCAGACAATAATAGAGCTGTGAGATGGAAGCATCCATGAACAAACAAGCACAGAAAGCAGCTGGCCCAGGCCTAGATTTCCAATACCCAGCAATGCCAAAAATATCATTTCAAGTAAACTAGGAATTTATTAACAGTGCAAATAACCAAAAACACACTGTTCTCCCAGCTGCCTGAGACAGGGGGGATAAAGCCAGCCTGGCTGAAAATGAGAAGCTTGGTAAAACTTCTTGAAATTCAGTATTTCAGTAGGCACATCTCTGCTTTTTGGTTCCTTGCCTGTGTTCAGACACACACACAAGACACTGGAAGGACCATAAGCTGAGAGAATCTAAAAACCAAGCAAACCAGA